GCGCCATTTGTGCCAAACTGTGCCAAAGGGCTTATTCTGCTACATTTCACCAAAATGTAAGGAATTTGCACCAACATTGTGCCACAACTTCATTTCACTTTAATACTGAGAAGTGAATACCTCAGGGCTCTCCACCAGGCCGGATCATTACGATATGCTTGTGCAGGTTTTCAGAACTTTCCATAATCGTCTCAAATAACGTACTACTCCATTTGATTTCACGTCAAACGTTGAATGTACTCGGAAGTTTCGCAATAATTCTTATTTTTGTGGTCTGCTCTGGTGAGTTAGTTCGTTGAGTGCGCTTCTCATTGCACACTGATGTACTGCGGTAAAGCGACAGCGACAAAGTAGTCATTGCGATTTAGCATGTCTTGCTTCGCCGCAGTGCACCCGTGTGGTCAGGTTAAAGCACTCCTCCAGAGCGAGACGTGGCAGAATTTCAGAATAAAACTTGGGCTTGTATTCACTGGATGCCATATTTGAGTGGGCGATTTATAGCGCATTCTCAGAACGAGCTCACATTAATATGCTGCTCCGAGCGGCAATCTTGATGGTTTGTAATGCATGTTGGAAAAACACTGCTTATGCATGCCATCAGCACGTGCTCAGCAGTCATGCACACATGTATGGCCTCCAGTGAATACTCCCATACGATAGACTGCGATATCCTGGCACTATCTTTTTTCAATTCGAGAATTTGCAAGGATACTTTGGTATTGCAAGAAGAGTTATATGGATTCTTCTGTAAGTTTATTTTGTATGCTTTGTTTTTCATCTGCATTCAGAATCAATTTGCTTGCAACCTCTAGAACTAAAAAAAAAACTTACATGACAAAAACATTTCCCAGGGAAGGGGAAAAAAGGAAAAACAAAAATCTCCAAACACATCTAGGTGACTGGTGTGCGGCCGAAAAAATCCGCCCGGTCCTGGTATCGAACCAGGGAGCTCTCCATTTCCAGTGGAGCGCTCTACCAACTGAGCTAAACAGGAGTTTTTTTTTTCTTTATTGCATGAAGTGTGTACAGTGATTAATGATGCGTAGTTAAAATCATGTTCCCAATGGCTTCTCGGTTACATGTTATGCTTCGTTCATTATTTGAAGGTCATCAAGGATGGGAAGCCACTCCGCCGTTTCTCCGCGCGACTGATACACATTTTTGACGCGTGCAACACTTTCACGGAAGTAAAAACATACAGGTTTTGCATTCACGTCCGCGTGTCTTACAGCCATGCGGGAAGTCCAAATAGCATAAAGCCCCAAAAGAAAAAAAAATGTCATAAGGAACGAGCTCGTGCTTCTCCTTCGGTAGAAAGCGAATACCGTGACCAGTAATACACAACTCCTTTTTCAAGGTCCGTTGGAGTACGTCCCAAAAAAAGACGGCGTCCCAGCAGTCGATAAAGACATGCTCAATAGTTTCGGGCTGTTTACAAAGCAGGCAGTTCACAGACCATGGGACAAAAATGTATTTTGACTCCAGCCACACTTTCACTGGTAACGTAGAACTATGGACTTTGAAAAAGAAAGTCTTAGCCGCTGGTGGGACGCACATCTTTTTTACTCGACAAAGGACATCTTGTACTGGACAATTGTTATACAAAATTCGGTACAAAGGTGTTGGAAACAACATATCAAGAAGGTCTCGTGTGAGGCGTTTACGTGCGACACCAGACAGGTATTCAATAGAAAATCGTACCTTGAGAAAATTAAAGGCGTCAACCACCTTCTTTGGGTACCCTACGAGCCTCTTAGAAGGTTCTTCGTAAGACGAGACAATATAGGTCGGTAGATAAGATGCCAGCCTAGTTTGAATTATGGCCCGAATAAACGGATGTTTCTGATCTCTCAAAAAACAAAACCTAGACACCAGTTGTCTAACAAACAAGTGCGAGAGGCCGATTCCGCCATGACCTACGCTTCTGAAGAGGTTATCACGTCGCAACGGTTCCCATGACGACTTCCAAACAAATATAGCAAAAATTCTGTGAAACCGCTGAATGTTAACCCTGGCACAATGAAGAACTTGCAGGAGATACCATATTTTTGCAATTAGGAAAATATTGGACACAGTTGCTTTTGAAAAAATTGACAAGTCGCGGTTTGCCCATTTCTTGGTCCGTCTTTTCAGGTCTTCAGTTACTTCAGACCAATATGCATTACTAGCCCGATAATGACGTAAGGGCACTCCAAGATACTTGCAAGGCGCCTCAGTCCACGGAATACCTTCAAATTTGATTGGTTTTGTGGCCCACTGACCATGCCAAGAACCATTACACTTTCCCCAGTTGATAGAGGCACCTGTAACTTCGCAGAATGATCGCGCAATGCAAAGTGCTTCGCTTACGCTTCTCTTATCTCTACAGAATACCGCAATATCATCCGCGTATGCTAATATCTTGATCTCGGCAGAGTGCATGCTGATCCCACGGCAGTTTTTACTGGCAATAATTTTTAAGCAGAAGGGTTCGAGGTATAGGCCAAATAATAAGGGAGACATAGGACAGCCCTGCCGCACGGAGGATGCGACGGGGATGCGTCGTGTTGTAACGTTATTAATTATCAAGCGCGTATAGCATCCCGTATATGACATCTTTACTGCTTCGAGTATAATTTTCCCAACACCCAAATGAGGTAAAATATCAAAAAGAAATTCATGACCTACACGATCGAATGCTTTTTCGAGATCTATTTGTAAAATTGCAACTTGACTTTGCCTGTCTGTACAAAAATCTAAAACGCTACGTGCCACATGAGCATTTGTCTGTATCGACCTCCTTTGATTCCGCATGTTTGGTGTTCTGCTATCAATTCACGCACGACGCCCTGTAGACGACTTGCGATCACTTTGGCGAAAATTTTATAATCGACATTACATAAGGTAATTGGCCTATAACCAGATACTTGCCTACGCTTGGCGTCTTCATCAGATTTAGGTATAAGTACCGTAAACGTCCTCAGAAAAGAAAGCGGTAAAGCTTTACTTTGGTATGCCTCCTGAACAACCTCATACAGTATAGGGCATATAACATCATTATACTTTTTGTATAGTTCTGAAGTTATTCCGTCTGGGCCGGGAGTTTTACAAGAGGGTACCTATCTATTGCAGAATCCAATTCCTGCATCGTTATTGGTTCTTCAAGTTTTTCCGTCACTTCGTTTGGTAATCGCGGCATTTCCTTTATAAACGCGTCACGGCAGTCTGCGTTGCTAGATAACACTTTTTTGCTGAAAAGATGACTATAGTATTCTGTGAAAGCTTCTTGAATCGATTCGTTATCAGTGCACACAGTACCCTTGTGCTCTATTTCTAATATTTCTTTTTTGAGTGCATATTTCTTTTCATCTGCTAAGGCTCGTTTTGTAGGCTGTTCTCCTAGGAGGTACTTTTCCGCTCTTGCTCGGACAACTGCTCCATGGTAGCATTCCTCATGGTACCGCTCGATTTCGCGTTTGATGCTCTCTATATCTTTCACTCCTTGTCCAGGGTTCTGACACTCAAATGCGCATAAATGACGTAGGTTTTCGTCTAACCTACGCTTCTCTGAACGAGCATTAAATTTAAAAGTTGCTGCTCTCTCTATCGCAAGCTGTTTGACTTCTGTCTTAAAAAACTCCCACTTTTCAAAAACGGAGAAGTCTTTGTGAGCCAGAGTACATTTTATGGCCTCTTTAACACCACTCTCAAAGACCTTGTCGTTTATTAGTTTTGAATTTAGTTTCCAAAGTTCCCAATTAAACTTAGAGGTATTTCGATTCTTTTCCCCAATCGTTACGGCAACAAGGCAATGGTCCGAAAAAACACAGGTTTTACGTTATAGCTACTTAAACTACCTGCTAGCTCTACCGAAATGTATATTCTATCAAGTCTGGCGTGCGTTGACCCTTGAAAATGTGTGAACTTCAAGGCTTGCTGTTTTTGCTGTACGGTGGCTACATCTTCCAAGTCAAATCGCTCAGTCATTTCACTCAAGAAATGGGCACTTTTGTCTGGGCGCACAAGCTCATTAGACCTATCAGACGGTTTGCACACACAATTAAAGTCACCCAATAACACAATCATTTTGTCGTTTGTTAAATATTGTTCCACGTGTCTAAAAAAGGCTAATCGTTCATTCACCTGTTTGGGAGCGTATATACAAATTACACACCACTGTACATTGTACTATCGGGGAAAAATGAAATGCGAACAGAGGAGCGCGTGGCTCGCGGTACAGGCTGCGCCGCCTGGAAGTGAGACTAGGAGCTAGGGTGCGTGGCCTACTCCGACGTCTTCACGCCCCTCCCTCTGCGCTCCCCAAGCTTCAGCAGTGCGCCTCTTGGTGCGCTGAAAGCTATCAGCGCTATCTTTGCTGGCTCAGCGCGTGCGGTGCAAAGAAGCTTGCCGCACTCGCCGAGCAGGCAAAAATAGCGGTGACAGCTTTCAGCGCACTGAGAGGCGCATTGCCGAAGCTGAAGGAGCGCCAATCGAGGGGCGTGATCACATCGAAGCAGGCCACGCACCCTCGCCCCTAGGCTCACTTCCAGGCGGCGCAGCCTGTACCGCGAGCCACGCGCTCCTCTGTTCGCATTTCATTTTTCCCCGATAGTACATCAAAACGTCGCATACCACAAGCCGTCCACATTCGTCCGACACTATCGAGAGTTCAGATAACCTTATACTTTTCCTTAGAAAGAGCAAGCACCCTGCTGACACGCCCACAGCGTGACTGACGCAGACATCGTACGCGGGAAGAAATGGTTTAACCAATCGGGCAATGCTTTCGTCATCCGATAGTTTGGTTTCTTGTACTGCAACGATGTCTAGGTCTTCGTCAAGCAGGAGACGTTGCAGCTGATACTGCTTTCTACTCGCACCTAAGCCGCGAGCATTTAGGGTAGCAATACGTACCGCGTTTCCCGGCTCGGGCTTCATTAAGTAGTAACTAATACACGCACAAAAAACACATGTAAACAGGTTGCAGATCCGTGCTAAACTGACAAAAAAACAAAACAGACCTAGTGTCTTGGCTCTTCTCTGGGGTCGTCATGGAGCGTCCGTGCTTTCGGTTGAAATCGTCCTGTTTTGTACATCACCTCCTTCCACCGAAGCTGGTGTTTCCGTTCTTCTTCCGCATGATCTAACGATGGTGTCTCGCTCAGTAGTCGTTTTACCGGTTGAGATCCTGCTTCGCTCATTTCCACTGTGTTGACCTCGTCCACGGGTTCCTGCACTTGCTGGGTGCTACGGAGTTGGATTTGGTCATGGGGCAGGTCCAGACGTTCCAGTACTTGGTTCGCCTCCGTGTCGCTTTGCTGTGTTGGGTCGCCAGTCGTTGTTAGCTGCCGTCCTGCCGTATCGTCCTTTCCAGGCGCCTCGGCGTCTCCTGTCGACTTGTGTACTCCAGCCACAAAAGCTGATGGGCCAGGGCTGGGGTCGGGCGTCACGTCGACAGCTTGGCTTGGAAGTTCCGGCCGTTGTCCAGTGGTTGCTTGGCTTTCTGTCGGAGCCACTGCTTCGTTTCCAGCTGCCGCCTCTGCCTCTGCCTCGTCCATTTCCATTTCCGAAGTAGCTTCCGACGCCGCAGTCCGCAGAGCGGCCGCATAGGTCCGCGGGCAGTCTTCTTCTACGTGCCCGAATCCACGACACGCGTTACAGCACGGAACACGGCAGTCCTTTCGTATATGCCCTGTCCTTTTACAGCGTAGACACAAAGGAGGCCTTCCAGGGACGACTACCAACGTGTTAGCTCCCAGCACACGTAACTGGTGGGGCAGTGTTTCGATGGTGACTCCTTCCTTCAGCGCCAGTGTCACCGTCCTTGTGTTCGTTCGCACTACCCGAAATCCTTCCGTGCGCCAGACTTCCCTTGTGACTTAGCTCGCTTTTCCAAAAGGTTCGAACGCCTTTCGTAAAGCCTCGTCAGTCACGTGGAAAGGCACCCAATGTAACTTTAGTCAAACGTCTTGTCTGTCTGGATCAATCACCAGACACCGCTTCCCCTTCACTTCCAGCTTACTGGCTTTCACCAAGCGCTGCTTGGCCGCAGATGAGCGCAGGGTTACCAGCCAAACATGGTTCATTTGGTAAGCCCCTATCGCAAGGACGTCACTAAGTACACTCAACCTCTGCAGTTCTTCTCGGAAATCGTCGATTTTGTAAGGTCGCCCTGAGACGTCGCAATGCAAAAATACAGAGTTCAAGGCGACAGTACCTGATAGCAGCGTGGGCAGGACAACGCGATATTCCTGGGTATCGTTGATAACAGTTGCACCGCGGCCTGACACGGCCGTTTTTGCCGCTCCAACGGAGCACATTATCGCACGTCCGCACTGCGCGGCAGCCGGAAGTGGAATCGAGCTAAACAGGAGTTGGACGTCAGTAGAACAAAAAGAGCTGCTACCAGTCTAACACCAACAAGGGTGAACGGCCTGCATTTTTAAGGTTATAATGATAATACAATTAATGCAAGGGTTTTAGTATATTCTAGCATTATTTCAGTGTGATTTTGTACCTAAAATAACCATTCACGGCTGTATGTGCTGTCTTTCATCAATCATCTCGCTGTTACTGTGTCTGGTGCTTCTACACGCAAGCAAATAGCTAGTTCTGTGTTTAAGGGAATCGCTCCTGCTGTGCCATTGACGCTAACAAAAGGTTACACGTAAGTGACAAGGCAAAGTAAACATTGCCTCTTAGTTGCACAGGCCAACACATTAATCTTAACATAATATTTGCAGTGAAATGAATGAAAATAAAGTGTACGCTTATGCTACCAAAGCTCTCTTTGCCGCTCCAAGAGCTGCTCCACACTGAATCGGACCAGTTGCATCACTGCTAAATGAACTAACAGGCCACTTTTCACACCCTCGTAACCCTTTCTCCTATATGTGAAGGATCACAGACATGGTACTTGACCTTGAGACCTATTAACATGTATACTGGGGGTTTCAGTGAAAGCCTTAAAAATTCCTAAGGATAGGGTAATTGAAAAACAAATGAACTCTTTTCAAAAACCAAATGTTAGGAATTGCAAAAATATATAAAAATTAGCTATGTAACTAAAAGTTGTAACTTTATAATTAGCAGTTTATAGGTCTATGTTGCAATTAGAATTTTAAAAGCTATCACCACGGAAGGCTAAAGCAATTTATGGAAAGTAAAAAAAAGTAACCGGCTTGGAGATATTCGCCGACAAACTTTGCTCTGTAATAGGTATGATAAGACAAGCACGCAGCGATATCGAATTTCAGAAATCATACCAATTACAGTGCAGAGTTCATCGGCGAATATCATCAAGCCGGTGTCTTCTTTTTACTTTCTGTAAATTGCTTTAGCCTTCCATGATGGTAACCTTCAAAATTATAATTGCAACATGAACCTGAAAACTGCTTATTACAAAGTAGATTAGCACATTTCAGTTACTTAGATAGGTAATTTTTATATATTTTGTGATTCCCAAAGTCTCTCGCAGCTCATATTTGGTTTTCGAAAAGAGTTTCTTTGTTTTTCCATTACTCTATTCTTCAGAATTTTTGAACGTTTTTGCTGAAACACCCAGTAGGTGCAACATTCCACAACACTTTGCTCAATTCTATGTCATTCCATGGCTTTATTTTCTTGTTTGAATTTCCTAAACTTCTATTAGCTTAGGAACATAAGACTTTTGTACCATGTGCCCCCTTTTTTAGAATCTGAGAGTGCAATATTTTCTGTACGCTGTAATGAGAGTTGAGAGACACCACCTATCGTAACACTGTAACCGAGTATGTCAGGTAACGCAGTGACAGCTACCATAAAAAATGCTAATACACCAAAGGGCTGGGTCCCTAACAAGGCAGCAAATTTATACCCTAAACTTATAAGCAATATCTGCTATGTTAACTTCCCTTCGAATACATTTTCTCTTGATTGCAGCATGGTTCTCTCATATTGAAACCCTTTGTTATGCAATGGAAGAGCTCTGTGACGGATTACCTTAGGTAGCTCTCATCCTGAGATGGCTCATAAGTTGTGTCTGCATCCTCCACCAGCACAGGGCTTGAACACATTCTTGGAGTTTCAAATGAAATGTCCCCAAGCAGGAAGTCTTCTTCTGCCGGCTTGTGTGAAGGGGCAACCCGTTCTTCAAAGAAACTTTCCTTGCTTGCCCTCTCAGTAGTCGATGGCGGCGCAAGTAGTGGCTCCATAGCAGGTGGCGCAGGACTTGCACATGGCAGCACAGGTGTTGGCTCTGTGGTGGTTGGAGCAGAACTTGTGTCTGGTGGCGCAGGTGCTGGTTGCCACGGGTCTGTTTGGGTTTCTTTTGACTCTTTCGTGCAGACGTTCACTTGTGTAGCTGAAATGTGTGTAAAAACTTGCACTTTGTTTGTTCCACCAGGTTTCCGTTGGGCTATGTCCACAATGTTTGCTACACAATGTTTTTATGTGAAGTCATTGAGAATACTAAATACAACGAAGTCCGAAACTACTTGGCTTTATGTCTTCAGAGCAGCTGTTGACAATGATAATAAAGGCCTAGAATATATTGTACCTATGCGAGTTAATATAAAGTCTTGCCCGAGCAAAAATATGTCCAGAATTACACATGGCACGCTGCTCGTTTAAAAAGTTCAAAGTGGAGAAAATTTGTATAAAACTGGGATGTATACACCTTTTCATTTCCGCAATTGTATAGAGAATACTGGCGTACCTGTCGCCATTAAGTAGCTTCACTGCTGTTCGTTCTGATTTCAGCGCGCTCGCGGCTATTTTGCTGTGTTATGTGGCACTCGTTTAGCTCTATAATATAAATATTTATTATTTATTGAAGCCACCTTATGACTGCCATGTTAGCTGATTTCAATAAGGCAGCGCCCATGCGACAGTAAATGAAAAGAATACAACACTGTCAAGCCTAGACATAGTTGGAACTCCACGTCAGTTTAATAACAAAAACCTTTGCCAAAAAACGAGGGACAGGAATGCGAGGAGCACCGACAGAGTGCTGACTAACAACTGAAGTTAATATCTGCATAGAACAGGACAATAGACATTGAAACAAATCAGATAGGAAAGGATTGAGGAAATAACCCGACAAGACCCGTCGCACCAAGCCTCCAAGCATATATACATATCTGCCGCACTCGATGTCAGACTTAGCCCAAATAGGCTTGAATGATTTACATACAAGGCATGATGTAAGCAGTGCTCACCTTTGTTTTCAAACTTTTTTTCGATGCTGTATGTGTGATCAGCAGATGCCAGAGATATGCTGTTCCCATAATCGCTGCTAGCTGTGAGCTGGAGCTCCTGCAAGCAAAGAAAATGTATCCAAAGTTATCTTTGAGTTTTTGCCTGGTGGTTAACTCTAAAACAGCCTGGTTCGCATTCCCCATACAAAAGATTGAAAATTAGCAAAACATATTTTAAACAATAGAAGGGTGTGCACTTGGGCTAGTTGGCAGTTCATGGTTCAGAGGGTAAAAGCGCTAAAAAACAATGGACAAGTGAAAGACGAACAACACAGAGCACTAGGCTCCGAGGTGGCGTTTTTAAAATCTTTCGTAAAATAGATAGTAGATAGATAAGCATTGATTTGATGATGTCGCATTTCTGTCATCACATCTTGATTTCACGGTGTGTGCATATAGATATGTTTTTCTGTGAGTAAACTTCAGTTGCAAGAAGTGCTCTGTGTTGTTCGTCTCTTTCACTTAGCATACATCTACTTTGGCAAAATTAGCATCTTGTACAAAAACAAGTTAACATGAAACAAATCTCTCACTTCTATTGTGTATCATTTTATCTTTGAGTACTCCCTCCTGCGTCTGGCCAGTGGGTGTGGCGACGAAGGCGCTGGAGAGGAGAAAAATGGAGGAGAGCACCAAAGGAGCGAAAGAGGAAGAAGGGAGCTAAAAGGAGACGACCGGCGTCTTGACGCAACACGCCTCCCGTACAGAGCACGGTTGAAGCTACGCGTCGTCTGCTATGGGTCGACTTCTTTTTCACCTGAATAAAAGTTGTCAGTCAAACGTCAAGAAAACTTATTCGTTAGCTTGTTAACCCACCGAGGAATAACGGTAAATTATTTTGTCAGAGCCTGCGATATAAAAGGAAATAATCAAAATTTAGATGTTGATCCCATGCATTCCAACGGGCAAATGAATGAAAATGGCGGCCCTCCTCGCTCAGCTAGGAGCAGCCGGGAGTTCACGCGCATGCGCTCATGCCTCTCGCTCCGCGCCGCGGGCTGGTTGGCTCACGCGGGAGGGGGGCGTTGCGGCGGCGAGATCATAGACTGGCCAAACTCTCCTCATATACGGCTCTGCTCCCTCCCTCTCATGTTCACCACCGCATACTTACAGAACAACGTAGAGAGTCTGGTACATCCTCCTCAGCAGGCACGATTTCAATGGGGCTCACTGCCAAGTCTTGCCCGGACAGCACCTGTGAAGAATAACTTTTCATGTTGCTGTGGTACAGGCATGCAGCCAGGATATTGATTCGGAGAATGGGGTGAGGGGGGGGGGGAGAGAGAGAGAGAGAGAGGGGAGAGGAGGTCCCA